ACCTGGCCCATGTGCTTCAAGGGCTTCTCCTGGCTCTGCATCACACCCCCCCCCCCCCCACGGGAGCACAGGGACCACGGATGTCACGCTATGCAAGTGGCTTCTGTGTGTGTCCTGGAGCTCCACACTCAGGTGCTCACCCTTCTGCTGTGCTCTGACCCCTGAGCCATGCCCCAGCCCTCAGTCCCTCAGCCTTGTGAGCTCACACGTGAATTCTAGACTCGTTTGAAATTTGACTTCATTAGGAGTCCCGTTGGATATATGGATTAATTTGGCAAGAGTTTATATGTTGATAGTCTTGCCTCTTCCAACCTGGATAAGGCTTCTTTCCACGCTACAGATCTTTCATTTCCACGCACCATATTTCATAGTTTCCTATATACTGTGCTTCACATCTATCCTCAGATTTACCCTGAAGGCGTTCATGTTTTATAGTATTAAACAGGTCTTTGTTGTTGTTGTTTATTGTTTAGAGACAGGGTTTTGTTATATGGCCCTGGCTGGCTTGGAACTTGCTACTTACACTAGGCTGGTTCCAAACTGAGAGATATCCTCCTGCCTCTGCCTCCTGAGTGCTGGGATTAAAGGTGTATGAGAGAGAGAGAGAGAGAGAGAGAGAGAGAGAGAGAGAGAGAGAGAGGGAGGGAGGGAGGAAGAAAGGAAGGAAGGAAGGAAGGAAGGAAGGAAGGAAGGAAGGAAGGAAGGAAAGAAGGAAAGAAGGAAAGAAGGAAAGAAAGGACATGACTGCTCCTAGGTATGATGGAGGAGAAAGTTTATTATAAATATGTGGGAGAGCTTAGCCAGAGGCAGACACATGTGGGAGAGCCCAGAGCAGTCATGACCCTGGCACCATGTGGGGAGAGGGAGAGGAGAAGGGAGAAAGGGAAGCCAAGTACAGCGGCCAGGAGACCAGAGATACAAAGTGTACAAAAAGGACTGTGCTGGGTAACCAAAAAGGTCTGCATTCTGTAGGGAGGGGCCTCTGGGGGAAGGACAGCCTAGCCCCCGGGCTGGAGAGTTCAGGGGAGAGGGTGGGATGTGTCAGTCATGCCCTGCAACAGGTAGGGACTGAGGGATGCTGGGAGAGCCTGGAGGACAGGTCCACTTTGATATGTTAAATAGGCGCCTGTTCCAGGCTGGAAACTTAACAGTAGGATTTGTTGTTTGTTTGTTTGTTTTTCAAAACAGGGTTTCTCTGTGTAGCCTTGGCTGTCCTGCAATCCTCTTTGGAGACTAGGCTGGCTTCGAACTCAGAGATTCACTTGCCTCTGCCTCGTGAGTGCTGGGATGAATGGCGTGTGCCACCACGGCTGAACTTTTAATGGAATTATAAAAAAATACTTATTTGATTTTTATTTTTTGTGTATGGGTGCTCTGCCTGCAGGTATGTCTGGGCACCACACGTGTGCCTCATGCCTGTGGAAGTCAGAAGTGGGTGTCTGATCCCCATGAACTTGAATTATAGGCACTTGTGAGTGAGTCCAGGAAATTGAACCCAGGTCCTCTGCAAGAGCAGCAAGTGTTTTAATCTCTGAGCCGGCTCTCCAGCCCCATGTAAATGCTTGTGTGTGTGTATGTGTGTGTGCTTTAATTTTCCAATTCCAGTTGTTTGCACTGTCTATAGAAACACAGTTGATTTTTGTTTGTTTCATGTTCTGCAACCTCGCTAAATACTTGTGTTAGTTTTAGAAATTTTATCAGAAGATTTTACATTTTCTGTTTGGTTTCAATTTTGGAGCAAGATCTTACCATGGGGAGGCCACCCAGGCTGACCTGGCACTCATAATCCCCCTGCCTCATTCTCCAGAATGCTGAGACTGTAGCCACCAGAGGTTTCTTAGATGATCTTGTTGCCTGAATTAAAACGGGCTTATCTCTTCTTCCCCATCTGGGTACTTTTTATTTCTTTTCATTGCCTGATTTCACTGGCGTTCCCAATACAATACAGAGGGGGAGCCTGGCCACAGAGGAAGTAGTTACGATGCCCGCTTAAAGCCTTTCACCTGCTCTGTGGGAAAGTTCCTCTCCTTTTAGTCTCTGAGAGGGTTGTTTGTTTGTTTGTTTGTTTGTTTGTTTGAAATCAGGATGCTGCATTTTTGTCAAATGCTATTTCTGCATTGAGGTGATCCTATGGTTTTTCTCTTCCTTCCTTCTTCCCTCCCTTCCTTCCTATTTATTTATTTGGTTTTTCAAGACAGGATTTCTCTGTGCCTGGAATTCACTCTGTAGACCAGGCTGGCCCCGAACTCACAGAGATTCACCTCTGCCTCCCTGAGTGCTGGAATTACAGGTGTGCGTCGCTGTCCAGTTGCTGTTCGATTTTCAAGTGTTAAACCAATTGAATTCCTGGTCGAAGCCCCGGTTGTTTGTGATGTTTATGTATCATTGGATCCTGTGTTAGTCAGGCTTTTGTGTGGCATCGAAAAGCGAAGGTCTTTTGGCTATGGACTTCAGAGGTGTCAGTCTGTCATGCTGGGGAGGGGTGGAGGAGCGGCCCAGCTCACATCACCGTGGGGAGGAAGCAGAGGAAAGTGGTGAATACCAGAAGTGGCCAGAGTGAGGTATGTCCCCAAGGCCGCACCCTGACTCACCTGCTTCCTTTAACCAGACTCCTTCCTGCTTTTTACCTCCCAAAAATGATGTCATGTTATGCATGTATCAAAGAATTAATAATCTCTTGCCCGGATCAGGGCCCTCACCAAAGTGGGCTTTACTAATAACAAACTTAGTTGAAAATCAGAATTTACTACCACAGGTCTGCAGGCATGAGGATCTGAGTTCGAATCCCCAGCATCCATGGAAAAGCCTGGTTCGTTAGTAAAACAGGACTCTCCCCTCCAGCCTTGCGCTGCTCACTCTCGCTGCCCTTGGTCCCCTCAGGGGCAGCTATCAGGACAGAATCCCAGCTATGAATCAGCACTTGGAAGGGCAGAGGTCTCCAGGGCCGTATCCTGTCAACAGGATTCACCGGGTCAGGAGGAGGCTCTGGGGATGAGCCCAGCCCCGTCCTGGATGGCCAGGCAGTCTAACTGAAATGGCCGGCTCCAGGTGTACCTGTGTCTGTGTCAAAAGACAAGGCGGGGGTCCACGGGGAAGCCAGCTGACAACAGCCCCTTGTTCCCAATGTACATGTGCAGGTGAGCACAGGCACGCGTGTACAACAACACGCCTGTGAAAATGAGATATACCCATAGCCAAAAGCACAACTGCCACAGAAAGACGTGTCTCTTCAGGGGCGCGTGTTTCTCTCTTAGGTTATTAATAATATGTAATATACTGTGTCAGTATTTTATTCAGTATACTATTTGTATACTATGCTCAGGTACAGCACAGCTTGCTGGTGAATCTCATGATACATGCCTGTCATCACAGTTATTTGGACGAATCAGGAGTTCAAGGTCAGCCTCACCTACATAGCAAGTTTGAGGCCAGCCTGAGTTATATGAGAAAGGAAGGAAGGAAGGGAGGAAGGAAGGAAGGAAGGAAGGAAGGAAGGAAGGAAGGAAGGAAGG